TGAGCAGCACACCAGGCTTCTGTTCACCTCAGGTAATTGGCAGATAACAGAACAAAAGCTAGGACAAAAGGAAGGAGCAGTGGTGCTGTGGAACCAGGGCTCACATAAATGCAGCGTTGACACTTTTTGATTACGAGGGGTACTGATGTTCTTTGCCCTAACCCTAACTCATTCAGAATTCCTTGTTTCCCTGGAGTGCAGCTGCAATTCTCATCTTAGTGGGGAGAAATGCACTTTCCCTGTTGTAACGCAATGGGCAGTTAAGACCCATTTTACAAAAGCACTGCTCCTTGTGGAGGTGAAAACTGCCAGAACTGAATCAGCACATCAGGCCCCATTTTTGGACTCTCCTTGCAGGTGTGGCTACAGGGACTGTCGTGATAAGCACTGCATTTCAAATTTACTCCTACACCATTAGGGAGGAGCCACCAATGCCTTTTCTCTCGCACTTTAATGGGAGAGCTGAAGGTCTAAAGTCCAGTTTCTGGCTGGCAATCATAACCAGTGAGCTGTCTCCATGGTGTTGAGGGTCAAAGATACCTGGCTAGTGTTTTGCATGCCAGCAGATGAGAAGAAGCAAAGAATCTCACATCTACTCCTGACCTATGTCTGTGCAAATATAGACTCTTCCATAACTTGCTCTACAAATCACTGGCTTTCTTCCCTCCTGTCTTTTTGGCCTATGTCATACAAAACTACTTTGTTCCATTACCACCGATTACCGTGTGCCGATCTCCCTCCTGCCTCTCTTTCTGTTTTCCTGTTTCTGCTGTTTTCCTTGGCAGTCACCATCTTTGGGAGTGCACTGGAGCCAACCTACCTTAGGCTGCATTAAAGGCCTGCTGTGTATATAAGGAAACTGGACAGGCAGCCTGCCAGGAGCTAGTACACTTGCAACCGAGCAGGAAAATAGGGCTAAAACCAAAGAGGCACTTCTAAATTTTGCAAACTCAATAAGTGTCTGGGTTCTGTGGCACCTAAAATCCACTTTTAAAATAGATCACAAGTCTTGAAGTGGGTAAGTGTCCCTGTTGCACTAGGCACTGATGTTTTTGCTGTTGTTTCAATGAAGAGTTAATTTCTCAAAAGCGAGACACCAGGGTTCAAGGAAGGGGAGATGCTATTATTAGGGCACTCTGTACATGCTCTCTAATGATATTACTATTTTTCATGTTTCAACTTGGGCAGTAAAAGCAGGTTCCAACTCTCGTTCTTGCAGTGAATATGATTTGATCATACCACTGTTTGTTTGGTCACCTTTTGGCATCTAAGCTGTTTTGCTGCCAAATTGCCCTTTTGATCTGGAGGATGCTTGTATTAATTGCTTCTGATTTGTCTTTTACTTTTATCTGTGCTTTATTTGATATGTTTTTAAGATGTGTATTTAATTGATGGGTTTTAATATTTTATAGCATCTATGCCATTTTCCCTATATTTTATTGTTAGCTGCCTTGAGTGTTATTTTAGTGGAAAGGCAGGGTGGATATCTAATACAGAGGATGGCAACAATCAGGTCCTATGTGGCCCTTATGGTCCCCTGGTGCACGCCTCTCCATTGCTCCCATCATCCCTGTCATTAAACAAGAAACAGAGAAAAGGAACAAAAGCTGCAGGTTGAAGGCATGGAGTCATACAGGCTAAGAATAGGCAGGCAGGCCTAGAATGGACTTACTTAGAATTAACCAAGTGCAATACAAAACATGTTTACTCAGAGGTGTCCCCACTGAACGAAGAGACTGGATATGCACCACATACTAAGCCACCAAGGCGGCGGTTTAGTATCTTGTCTAAACCCTCCTGTGTTCCACGTGAGATGGCATATAAGCCAACTCAAGAAGCCATGGCTAGTTTTAGGTTTTGGAAACTCCTACTGGTTGCTGTGTTGTCTGAATCCAGGTGAAACAAGAAGCTATGGTCAAGCTGAAAAATGAAAGAACTCCTTAGCAAGAGCAGCAAAAATCTCTGGCCAAGGGGTTCTGGCCGGTAGCTGTCATCTGCTCCCGCTACCCACTACCATGCATCCGATGAAGCCTGGAGAGGGGGACTGACTGCTTGTGGGGCTTGAGAAGGTGGAGGTGCGCAACAGTGCCACAGATGGGCAGCAGAGCCACTTTGTCTTGAGGAGAAGTCAATGGCAGCAGCAATGATGGGCAGAATACCTCCCCTGCCAATGGGATTCTGTCTGAGTGGCAGAAGGCTGACACAGGCCACCACACTCTGCTCTTTCAAGCCCAGCATCAGGTGGCTTGTGCCATCCTACTTCAGGTTCTTCAGCCCACATTTCCACCACTGCTGGGAGAACAAGATTGTGCAGGAGGACAGGAAAGTGGAAAATACCTTCCAAAAGGCCCCACTTTTGACAGCTTTCATCCCAGCTCCCTTAGCACTCCCAGAGGGAAGAAGAGGAGCAAAAGGAGCCTGCAGGCCCAGCTGTGCCCAATCATAAATCCCAGGGATTAACATTTGTCCAAATGCACACAGTGGAGCTTATTCCTTAGTAGGCATGCTTTTATTGCACTGACAGTTTTCTAGTGGTTAAATTATTTTTGGATCTGCATTCCAAATGGGAAAGGTTGAAGGAAAATTCTGACACTGGATGCTTCCATCAGAGCCATTTTTTCTGGTATTTATATGTATTTATTTCAAGGTATGCTATGCCTCTTGCACTATTGTATCACCTGGGGTGCTAGTAGAAGGGTTTCTGACATTACTGAGGACTGGATAAACTAACCATTCCAGCTCCTTTCTCCATAAGACTGACCAGGTGTGTCCATTTCATCTGGTTTCCCCAGCTCATTTTAGTGGTGGAAAAACCCTTAACTAATGGCAGAAAGTGAAGAGGAGCTAAAGAGCCTCTTGATGCGGGTGAAGGAGGAGAGCGCAAAAGTTGGCTTGAAATTCAACATTAAGAAAACTAAGATCATGGCATCCAGTCCTCTCACTTCCTGACAAATAGATGGGGAAGAAATGGAAGTAGTGACAGATTTTATTTTCCTGGGCTCCAAGATCAGCGCAGACGGGGACTGCAGCCAAGAAATTAAAAAACGCTTGCTCCTGCGGAGGAAAGCTATGGCAAATCTAGACAGCATACTAAAAAGCAGAGATATCACCCTGCCAACAAAGTGTGTATAGTCAAGGCTATGGTTTTCCCAGTTGCAATGTATGGCTGTGAAAGTTGGACCATAAGGAAGGCTGAGCACCGAAGAATTGAGGCCTCTGAATTGTGGTGCTGGAGGAGACTCCTGAGTCCCTTGGACAGCAAGGTGAGCAAACCGGTCAGTCCTAGAGATCAATCCTGACTGCTCTTTGGAAGGCCAGATACTGAAGATGAAACTCAATACTTTGGCCACCTAATGAGAAGGAAGGACTCCCTGGAGAAGAGCCTGATGCTGGGAACAATAGATGGCAAAAGAAGAAGGGGACGGCAGAGGATGAGGTGGCTAGATGGAGTCACTGAGGCAGACTGCGTGAGCTGGAATGGACTCCGGGGGATGGTGGAGGACAGGAAGGCCTGGAGGAAGGTTGTCCATGGGGTTGTGATGGGTCGGACACGACTTCAAGACTAACAACAACAACAACAACAAACCCCTTAACAATCACCTTTCATCATCTGATCACACAGTAATAAACAAGTCCTGATGAGAATGACAAGGCATCCCTCATCCCACCTTTCTATTCAGGGGAATCCCAATGAAAACAGTAAAGTTTGATTAGTTTCCCTGGATATCTTTGAATTCTTTTCTTATCAATTTCAGAATTTGCCTGTGTTTGAGACAAAGGAGGGAGAAGGACAAAAAAGACAGCGGGAGAAAACAGAAGTGGCTTACCTTATACTTCTGCAGGGATTTTAGCAAACCCCAATGAAACTTGGTTTCACTGGGCTTTTTCTGGCTAGCAAGGTTGTGGGCACAGGGAAAACTATGTGAATTTTGCCTGTGTTTTGTGTCCTCCAAGCACTACAGAGATACTTTCATATCAAAAGGGCCCACTCATTCTGTCATCCAAGATACCTAGAGCTTGCTTGCTGCTGCTTTATTTTGATCAACATATAAACCTTGAATTCTAAGTTGGGTCATTGTTGCACCCATCTCAAGAGGACAGAACTGGAAGGACACATCTCTTACAGTCCCCATCCCCCTTACTCTCTGATGTTCTAAATCCTACACCTTAGACCACAGAGCAAACACTGCCACCCAGTTCCTTCCAGATGCTATGCTATTTCAGCCTGTAGAGCACAGCTGGCCAGCTCTGCCTCATCTTCAGGGTGGTGTCATTTGGCTTCTTCCATTCTTACTCCAGATCTCTTAAAGTCCCCAGCAGTCCCACCCTTTCTCTAATTGCTTTATTGCTGCTTAGGCTTCCAGGAGTTGCATAGCTGCACTTGAGAGTTGGAAGTTTCTGTCTGTTTCTAAGCACTTGTCGTTGCAGAAAGGCTACCTCACAGTTTGTATGTTTATATACAGATAGACATACATAATGCATATTCATCATGGGACACTGGGGAAGGAGCCAGAGGCATTGGGGAAGGAGTGTCCCTGAAGATGCGAAGAGTGCAGTGCAGGTTTCCCTTCCAAAGGACTGCTTTCCTCTTTGCAAAGGAATAGATCTTGTGTAATCACCAATGCACATTGTTAGCATTACAATAGCAGAGGTATCATAAAGCAATAAAAGAGAATCATATAGCAGCAGCACTGAATAGTCAATATATGCTTTTTATCGTCTCCTGCAAATGTCCTAAAAGCTGACCATTTTCTAGATGTTTTATTTTGTGTTCAATAATAAATTTGCCAATACATTCCAATACTAATTTTGGCATGTGAGAACTAAGAATTGCATAATACACAAGCACTGATGATGTTTGCCTGTTAGATCTGATCTGCTTTGGTATCATAAAGGTGAAACAATTAAAGGCTATTTAAATGACTAGCTATGATCCTCCACTCTCAGGCCAGTTCACACGATCATTTCATTTCATTTTATTTGTTTGCTATTGTTATTACCTTCTTTGGTTTCTCATGGTGGGACACATGCTTCTCTTGTGCAGGTGATGCTGACCGGCTCCTCCTCCCTGTGATGAAAGAACTGCCTCCAGAATGCCGTGATGTCTTCTAGAGGCAATTGGGAAGTTGGGTGGGGGAGGCAGGGAGGGTGATGGACAAAGGCAGAAGGTTGGAAAAAAAGCAGAAGAAAAAAATAAATGCAAAGACAAAGAAGTTCCCCCATCGGATCATGCCTACGTAATTTCAAAAACTGTCCTCATCTTAACTGTGCTGGCCAATGAGAAATAAAAAAAAACAAAATGCACAGTTGGTCAATGCCTCAATCAAACAGGACCAACCAACCAAAATTTCACAAGAATGTGCAAGCTTCATCCCTGCTTAGCACAACAGCTCCCCTGAAGGGCTTCTGGCCAGCCACTTTCTCTTTTTATCAGTCTCAAGGGCAAACTAAGTATGATACAGGACAGGAGCTCTTGCAGCTAGGATCTCCCAGGTTGTTCAGAATATAAGAAGGGCACTGCTGGATCAGACCAAGGGTCCGTCAGGTCCGGAATCCTGTTCACACAGTAGCCAACCAGCTGCCCTCAGCAAACCCTCATGCAGGACATGAGTGCAACAGGGCCCTCCCCAACGTTTCCCACCAACCAGTATACACAGACATACTGCCTCTGTTACTGGAGGTGCCATAGAGCCATCCAGACTGACAGCCATTGATACTTCCTCCTCCATGAATTCATCCAATCCCCTTTTAAACTGCTGGCCATCACTACACCTTCTGGAAGTGAATTCCATTCTTTATCTGCTGTCCAGTGTATGAAGAAGTGAGTTGCTAATCTTTTAAAATGAATTAGCATGCCCAGAGAATTAGCATGAAGGTCAGGGAAGTGGTGACTGGAAAAAGGGTGTTCACCTCTTGTCACCTCTGCTATTTCCCCAAGTGCTGAAGCTGCTACCAGCTCCAGAAGCTGTTGCTCTGGGATCATTAAGAGCACTTTCTGTTAAAACCATTCCATTAGTGTTTTGTGGATTGCCAGGCATCTTTTGTTCCATCAGCTGCTCATTAACAGAAATGGATTGTTTGAGGGACATGTGACAATTTCATTCCACTTGCACAAATGGGCATTAGTACGAATGTGCATTAGCATAAGTGTGCATAGTGCTAACACACATTAGTGCAAGGGCACATTAACGCAAGCGAATTGCCCCTACAAATCCTGCCCTTTGCATAATCGTCAGACTGAATTCATGGAAATCCAAACTCATTTAAAATCTGTAGCGGATTTCTCTGATACCCACAGTTGGGAATACAATTGACATGGTGGAGTGTGGCAGGGGGCCTGAGATCGACTTCTCCAAGAATGCCTTTCCCCAATCTCAGTCTTCACAGCAATTGCCTGAGCAATTGCTGCTGCTGTTACTATTGTGCAAATGACATATGAATTTCTTCATGTCTAGTCTGGCACCCAATCCACCTGAATTAACATCCAGAACTAGGGATGAACCTACTGATGAGCAGGGAATGGGCAGTCAGCACAAGTGGCAGATTTGGGGTAGCTGAATTAAAGCTAGACAGACCAGATCCCAGGGCATGGTGCATTACAATTCCCATGCAAAAGCTGCATTGAAATGAATGGAAGCTTCACAGGAACTCAGCACTACTCACCCCCAGCTACTTCTCATTTCAAGGAGATACATGCTGGAGAAATTCCTGCTTGACTGGATCTCAGGATGAGAGGGGTGGTACCAATGGGATTTCCTACCTCTGGCACCGAACTGTCTCAGGCTGTCCTTGCCCACAAGCCTTGCTGCTAGGGATCAAAGGTCTAAAACAGTGAGCAGCATGGTGACCCTTGCCTTAAATCCTGGTGAAGGAAGAGCCGCTCTGCATGAAGCAGGGCTGCTCTCCTTTCTGCTATCCCTCTTCAGCTTCCATCACCACCATGGCATGTGAACTTAATGCACTGAGGCTGGGCTCAAGCTCTGGTTATGCCCTGGGTGTGCTCTTGCTTACCTACTTCACTAGCCTATCATAAAGGCAAACAAGAAGAGAGACTGAACAAGCAAATTTGCTCACTGCTATATAAACATTTATCAATACTAATAAGAAAAAAGTAATAATGCCATTGTGCTGACTCCTGCCAAATACTAAGAAAAAAACCCCTCCCTCTCTCAGATTAGGAATGGCCAAACTTTGTTTTGGGTGATCAACAAAGCAGTGTACACAATCAGGTGCAATAGATATCAAACACAAGACATGGAGCTCTCTGGTTTGACTTTGGGGAGGAGCTGCCATTCTTAATCATTCTAGGTGACAGCACTGATAGCCACCTGTGACTTCCCAGATAGTGTGCTCTGAGTCCTGCTCTGCTCCATTTTCCATGTGGAGCACCAAGACATTCCAGCCCTTCTAGGGTACTGCTATGGTGTCACCTTGCTATCAAATATGTGAGTGCTTTTAAAAAAACTTCTCAGCGTAGGTAGATAGCACCTGTTTGATGGAAAAATCAAGAGGCAAAATTAAAGGTTGACACACCTCTTTGGCATGAAAATCAACTTGTGGATCCAAGCATTCAACTTGCTAGCATGTACATCTCTCTGCAATGGGTTCACTCCATAAGGGGAAGAACCCAGTAACCACTTTAGTGTGCTACAAAAGGTGATGGATTAAAGATCTCTCTCAGCTATCCTCATGGCATTCTGGTTTCCTATAACTAGGAATTTGTGGAGTTACACATTCATACAAATACTGTTACAGCCACGGTCTGGAGTGGTAGCAATCAAAGAAAACATTGTGAGTTGTTTGTTTAGGTCAGGCCTTAATCTCACAGAAATCATTCACAGGCACACTTTGGGCTCCCTGGAGACCACGGATGTCATGGCAAATTCTGAACCACAGGTGCTGATCATGATAGCCCCCACAGCCATGTCTCCAGGTGGAACCAAAAATTGTGTTGTTCTATAACATAAAGCAGTTCTAGCAGTTTTCATCTCCACCATAAGCAAGTCTTTTTAGAAAGCAAACAGGTCTTAAATGTCCATTTGAGGCCAAGACAGCCCAAAATACCGTACATTACAACAATAGATTTCCTACTGTGAAGATTGCAAGTAGCTTCAGAAAGAATGAAGAAGTGCAAGTGGATGCTGATGGCAGATTATTTCAGCAACCCTGCAAACAAAGAAGTACCAGTGCTGTATCCTTGTGAACCCTGGCTCCACTACACCACTGCCCCAGACTGAGTGCAGCAGTTCCCTCTCCATATGCTCTCCTCTGCCTTAGGGTCATGTCTGGGGGCAGCCACTATTTTTACTTGCAGGTCTATTATGTTCAAGTAAAAAGGGGTGCATGGGTGAGGAGCACTGACCCCTCCCGCTTCCACAGACATACTTCCCTGCCCTCTGTGCACCTAGATGTGATGTAGGAATTCAAGTAGGGCAGCTTAAATAGGGAAATGTCTCTAATGTGAACAGACTGTGATCAGCCAGCTTGAGCAGGCCACCTTCCTCAATTCTGCTCATGCCCACACGTAACAATTTATTATTGTAGCTTATTCATTCCACTTTTAAACCACTCGAGAACATTATGTAGGATGCAATACTAGCAAAACATTAAAGGCAAACAATACATCCATCACTAGGAACAACACATTATACAACCGAGATAAAGCCAACAGCAAAGTGTTTAAACACTGCAACATATAAAACCAAAGTGAAAGTAGAGGCAATAAAAATGCAGAGACCTAACAGCACTTAAAAATTCTTAAAGTGCCTAGGAGAATAAAAAGATCTTCACTTGGTGCCAAAGAGGCCATTAAGTAGGCATCATGTGAGGAGCCTCTCTGGGGAGGGCATTCCATAGACAAGGTGCCACCACAGTCAAGGCCTCTCTGTTGTAGCCACCCACAATGTCTCATTGTGTAGGCACCTGAAAAAGAATCTCAGTCAATGACTTGAGGGTCCAAGTAGGTAGATCAGCAGCCAAAACTAGTTTCCAATGGGAAAAAGCTTACCTTGGGACTAGCTGTGTACATCAACAGGAAATTGGACCACCTTTGAGCAGCCAAATCAAAATATTCGTCACCCACACCCCATGGGGAGTTTCTATGTTTGACTGGCTTGCTTGATTCACCTTCAGGACAAGCAGCCTTCTGTTTGCTTATCCCTCATCATTCTGGGCACTTTTGTCGCAGCCTGGTTCCAATACCAGAAATTAGCTCAGGGATAAAAATACCTGAGGTTATGTAACACACGAAGGTAAGGCAGAGATGCGAATGGTTCTCCTTCTCTCATCCATGTGCCCCTCACTCCTTTACATATAAAATTAGTCACTAAAATGATACTTTATACATGAATGGGGCAGATATTAAAAAATCCAAATGTGGTTATCCCCCTTATGTTGTCATTTGGCCTTTACTCTCTGCCCCAGAGGCTGGGCAAAGTGATCTTATACATAGGACTTCTTTTCCCAGGGTCTTCCAAACAAGTTGTGCCATGCACAGCTGATGCTGGTCCTCTTTGAGCACCCACCTCTCTTTATATTTCAATTTAATAATTAAAGGAGAAACAAAAGCAAAATAAAGTACCCAAAGAAATGTGTTATTTTGCCTTGCTTTGCTTTATTTTTAATGGATTAAATTTACCCCACATCTGCATGGCTCTAGCCACTAAGCAGTCCAGACAAGGAACTGCTTTAGCATTTGGGGAAATGATGTCAAAGTTTGCAACTCTGCAGAAACAATTTCAGGATATACCACAAGGATTTGGTGTGGTCAAGACAACATTCTTAGTTAATCTTAAATGTCCTAATGAGACTCAAGGGAAGAGATAGGTGCTAAGCCTGCAGATAAAAAGCAGTTATCTCAGACTCAGAGGAAGGGCGTTTGAAAGCCTAGTGTATAAATTTGGCCTAACTGATTAGCGGTGAACGAGTTTCTGGATTTCATGTTATTTGAAAAATCTGCAAAGCCTGTTGAACAAAAGAAATATGTGCGTGTACAACCACTGGAGGCAAAGCCTCTCTGAAAGTACTTTTATCTCTCCTTAAAAGTATTGTTTGTCCTCAGTGTAGTTAAAGCAATTTAGGGTTTTATAGGTCAAGCAAAACCAGCTACTGTAAGAAATGTCCCAGTAGCTGCAACTTTTCTTTTAAAACCAGAGGCCACTGGCTACATCTGCTGCATCTGCAGCTCTACCCATCTCCCTTGCTGAACCTGAGATTTGGACTTCTTTCTAGTTATTATTTGCTGTTTTGTGAGTGACCTGGACATATACATGAAGCATGTGCTTTATGAATGATATACTTCAGTCCTTCCTCTTCCCGTTTGTATCTGACATCTAATTGAAAGATGATAGATAGATAAATCCAAGCACTCAAGCTGCACCTTTGACAGTAACAAGAGAATGGTGACTCACCATTTTATTGAAATGGTACTTGCAGTATCCACAGTATTTCACATTGTCGACTTCTAATACTTCTTCTTCACACAAGAGCCCAGCCATCTGAGCACTGAAATATGGAAACCAATTGATATGAATACAATCCTGGGGCAAAAGAGGCCAGACACAGCCAGGTTCCTCTCTCCCCAAGACACACGCTCATTTCTCATCTACTCATTTCTCTCTTCTATTATGAGCTTTCCAGAATTCACATGCACACGCACATACCACATAACCAAGAGAAATCACCAAACCCTGGCCTACCAGGGGTTATGCTGGTATCAGATTCATCGGTCCTGAAATCCTCATTTACCCAGCAGCTAAATAAAAAGAAATAATATGTCTCCTTGCTACAGCCATTAATAAATATGGGTTGGAGCTCTAACACTGTTAGGTGCCATTTCAATGCCAAATGCTCTAAAAGCTATTTTTCCCTTTCCTTTAAATGCACACACAGATGCACACCAGACTGCCTTGCCTCGCTATTCAAGGACATAGCAGAGGAAAGAAAAATAAATGTTCTTTTTGAAAGTCTAAGGCAGGGGTGAAGAATATGTGGACCTCCAGATATGTTAGACAACAGCTTCCAATAGCCCTAGCCAGCATAGGTTTAAGGTTGTAAGCCACCCCCAGGCTTTTTGTGAACGGGGCGGCATAAAAATGGTTTAAATAAATAAATAAATAATAGGCAATAGTGAGGGATAATAGGAAATGTAGTCCAACAACTTCAAGGGCCACTCATTTCCCAGTCTAAGGAGCTTTTTGCCACCTGAAAAGCAGAGCTGCCCTGCCCTTTTCTGAGAGGTAGAGCCAAAGACTGGAGGGTTCCTCCTTCTCTAGAAAGGACACAAAGTTTCCTGAACCCTCTTACAGGGCCCTGTCTTTTAACATCGAGAAACAACCCTTTGCTGTCTGCTCTACTCCTCTCCTGACAAAGCGCTAAATCTGGTATATCTAAATGCAGCAAAAGGAGAGTGCCACTTTCAGAAGAGAAGTGGAAGACCAAGGAGAGATAAGCTTATTAATTTCTCCTCAATTTTCTGGTTTCCCCCCTGAATTCCCCTTTCATAATTGCTTTCCCCCAGTGGGGATTGCAACACATGCTTGCTGCTGGGAAAGGTGTGGGTACCGGGGTGAAGCAGCAAGCAAGGGAGAATCAGGTATCCTTCTTTCATTAATTCTTCGCTTTCTTTCAGCTCCAATGAAAAAAGGAAACTGTGTGTGGGAAATTATTTGGAAAGGGATTGAAAAGAAATGTCTAGAGTGATGGATCTGTCTGTATGTTTCTGCAACTGTGAGAAATTGCAGCTTTGGGGTGAAGAATGAAGGATGCGATTTTCACTGGGAAAATGGTGCTGGCAGCAAAGGTTTGTGAAGAGAAACTCTCTGCATCAGCCCAGTCCATCTCAGCCCACCCTGGCTACCGTTTGAAGAAAAGTAAGCAAGAAAGCTCAGTTGCAAGTCAGGCAAGCAGGAAGGCAACTGAAAAGGTTGGAGAAAGTGACCAAACAATCTGCTAGGTGACCAAGCAACCCACACTGTTCTTCATTCAAGCAGACTGGCTTTATTTCAGGATCAGGGACCCAAACCCACACCCAGAGACTGGTGTGTTTGAGGAAAGGATTTGAACAATGTTAAACAGATGCAAGGATGCACTCACCAGGTGACATGGAAGGCTTGCCGACAGCCATGACGGTTGCAGGTCATGCATGCTCCAGAGGCCGCTTTGCTTTCTCGACCCTGCTCTTCACAGATATAGCAAGTCTGCAACCCAAAAAGGGTACACCTTGGACATATGCACTACAGCAAACCCACTGGGCAAATCAAAATGGCAATTTGAGACATGACTGACACCATCTTGACAATTCAGAAGTAAGGTGCATCCTATGACAGCATAAGACAAGGGTGCAGAGTCTCAAGTCCAGGGGCCAAGGCCCTCTGGAGATCCCAGTCCAGCCCTCAAGAAGTTCCCAGATAACGTCTTCCCATTTTCCCAAAAGAGGATCACTGGGTATTTCCCAAGCTTTGATGCAGTTTCCTCTGCCCCCATTCTAAAAGATCAAAGTGGCTTTCCTAAGGCATGATTACTGGTAATAAAAGCTTAAAACTAAAATATGTTGATTTCTTAACATATTCTTCAGCCGCTACTCCCTGAGAGGGACTGGATGTCAACATTTAATTTGTTCTGCTGGGCATCAGTGAATGGAAGGTCAGGATAGGGGTGCTGACTGAGAGAAGAGGCTAGTTATGCATTGCCAAGACAGAAGATGCTCAGGGAAAGGTGAGAATGGAGGTCTCTTTTACCTTATTGAACCGGTCGTGGGGCACATACTGGAGGACGATTGGCTCCATGGTGAGAACATTTGCAAATTGCACCTCGGGGATGTACAAAGCACATACGACATGGGCCCAGCCTGAATGAAGGAAAAATTGTGACAATAAAATGAGAGGAAAGACATAGAGAAACTTAAATCAGATGAAGCAGCAGCAACTGGCTTCGGCATCCAGTCAGAGGCAGCAATGGTGTGAGTCTGGCTTTGTTTTCACTAATGTAATAAGCTTGAAAGGTTTGGACAGCAGGTGGGAGCCAACATGCATGAGCTTTCTTCCATACAAAAAACGTGCCCTCCATACAGTAAATGCAATGTTCAGCAGAAGATTCTAGCCTAGTCTTTTCCCTGATGCGCTGCTTTTCTATATGCAGGTAATTTAATTTTTTTAAATTGAGACTATGGTAGCCACAAATGCTACTTTACAGAAGACAGTCTTCTGTCTGAAGGCATCCTATTGTTGAAGAGCTCTCCAGTCCAGATCTGAGTTAAAGACGATGAACCATCAGAAAAGTGTAAAGCAGGGTCTTGAAGTCATCCATCAGTTGTCAGCATCTGCACAGAAGACTGAACAGACAAACATGGCTCACTGGGCCACAGTTTTCATCGTTATATTACATATTTCTATGTAAATATATTAATTAGGTTTAAATTTGCATTTATACATATAAAGTAACATAGGTACATTTTATGCAAATCTCTTTCCTTGTTCTTTCAGTGATGTTGCCTTCTTTTTTTTTTCTTTTTCTTTTGGAGATGTGCAAGTGCCTGCCCTAATGGAGGCGCATTTAGCCATGTAAACTGGGCTAGTACCAAAGGCAGTCATGATCGGGCACCTACTGAGGATGCACACTCCAGCACAAGAGCTTTGTGGACTCCTTCCTCCTTTTCTCCATTGTTTAGCTACCTCTCACTCATCATTGGTGGCTGGGGAAAGGGTATGAGGCCAAGGAAGGGATGCATGTGGCCATCTTGGAAGCCCCAAAAGACCAGGCTGAGCTCCCAGATTGGTTAGACCACTAGCAGTGAGAAGGAGAAGCAACAGAGGCCACTGCCTGCCTGCCTACCTACCAGATCTCTGCCTGTCAGCCATACAAGTGGTAGCAATAGTGAGAAAATGGAGGAGGAGCAATTGCAGATGGTGATGTGGTAGTGAGAAGGTAGATTCCCAGACGGAGGGGACCCAGTAAGGCAGTTTTGTTTGAGGCTCCCAAAAACTTGGTGCACGTACTGCATGCATGTCCACATCTGGTGCTTCAAGTAGTGTAACCCAGACATCTCAGTGAAATGAGGCTGGTGCCCATCACATTCCTAATTATCTCCAACTATCCATATTCCCCTTATCATTACTTGCTTGCCCATAGTTTTAACACAGACTTTATAATTTATAATGCATAATCTATTCTAATGAATAGTAATGTATAATCGGTAATGTATAACATTTGGGGTGAGTTGAGGAGACAGTAATTTTGCTGCAGGAGACCAAATAGTCCTTTTCTGGAAAAAAAATAGTCTACTTTTTCAGAAGTGGCCCATCAGGACAGGCACCAGTGGTAGAGCCTCAGATGAGGCATGCAGAGCTTCAGGCTGCAAGATCAAATCTAACCCACCTGGGATCCCAAACTGGCCTCTCAGGGTTCTCTAGATGGTGATACCCATCCTTCCCCTGACCCTATCCCCTTTCCCCAAGTCCTCAATTATTTGGTGTTTTCCAAGCTTTTGTGAAATTTCTTCCCCATCTAAGTGGAAGACAACTCTTCTAAGACATAATCCCAGGTAGGAAGTGCTTTAAATATGCTGATTGGTATTTTGCCCCATCCCTTTTGCTTTTGGTCCAGCCCCCTTTTTCCTTGGTCCTGGCTACCACTGGAATGAGGTTCCTGAGCATTTCCTCAAGATGGAATTTGGCCCTTGGGCTTCTGCACCCCTGCCTCAGACTCTCTCAGTTTCTCTCTCTTTCTCTCCCTCTCTCTCGCCTTGGCCTGGGAGAAACCTTATAGTAGGGGAGTGTTCAGGGAGTTTTGCCAGTGAGCTGTGTATAACCTAATACATTACCAAAGTTCTGTGGTGGCTGACTCAGTAGCTGAAATTCAGCAAACAACACAGGACCTAGACAGTCTGAACAGAATTTCCTCATTTTATTATCCCATCAAGTTTAAGAAACAGTGCTTTCCTGGAAGGCCACCTTTCAAGCTTCCTGTTTGATTGGAGGTTTGAACCTAAGCCTTTCCTGTTAAAGTTCTCCATTTCATCAACTTCCCCACCTTGGATTCACAGCATTCACAATGTCTTTGTTGTCACATTTTGTACACAGAACTCAAGGCCCTGAACATAGAAGGTGACTACTTATGCATTGCCCCCCCCAAAAGGAAACAAAGCCCCCCAAAAAATGGGAGAAAGAAGGCACACATGCATGTGCTAACTGATATGTGTAGATGTTAACTTATCATTTCCATAGAAATACTTTTCATCACAATTTTCACACCCTGAAAAAGGCACTAAAAGATGTGTTACTATTAGCTGAGCAGAAGCATTCAAAGGGCACCCTACGTAGGGGAAAAAGTAAGAAAAATGTATAGGTTGGTGCATGCATGGGAAACTGAGGCCTACTTCTCATTCAAATGGCACAGAGCAAAGATGGGTTGCACCACTTCAGACTGCAGGGGGGAGCTCAATTGACAATTTGCTCCCCCACACCAAAAGGTTGAATACAGCTGCACACCAACAAACAAGTATACCGAAGAACCCTTTAGATAGGATCCTTTGCCCTGTCATCCAGGAGTATTTTTGTTATTTTGAAGGTGGAAGTACTCGTGGTTTGAAGTTTTGTAGCCCAGACAAAGGTAATGTAATGAGAACTCCTCAGTCACAAACAGCTGATGAGAACAGTAAACCAGTGTCTGGACCTCTTTCTGACAGTGGAGTCCTACGAGAAGGCATATTTCTCCAGTATATATATAAATTCTAAACATTAGTCTAGGTTAAACATTAACATTAGCCTTTCTGCCTAAAATCTAGTTTAACTATAGAAAAAAGAAAATCTTCTACTGTTTCCCTGTTGTTTTGAATTTTTTTGTCCGAAGTCTAGAAAAACTTGGGCACCTCATAAATAAATCCTTATTAACACCAAAGAATGAAAAAAGTCTCCAAGGCAGATATGAATATTTGCCCTACGGTATGAATTCCAGGCCAGTCATGCCACCCAAAAAAGCAACCTCACCTCCATTATCAGTCCGCTTCAGTGCTCCATCTTTATGAGGACACAGCTCACACCTCTGAAAATTCAAATAAAAGGCCAGGTTAGGATTTCTAAATCACAATAACAAGAACATAGCATTTGTATAGTGCTTTTAAATGTTCAAAGTGTTTCAACTGCATTATCAGTCCAAATCCTTATAACAACCCTGTAAGGAAGCCAATGTTATTGGCCCTCATACAGCAGATGGGGGACAGGGTCAGAGGCCAAAGGGGAGCACAGCTATTCTAAGGCCATCTGTTAATCAGGACAGTGGAAAGATTCAGACTGAAGATACTCAGTCCCTTTATTTACTACACATGTATTACTTTTATCAGTTATAAATCATGGCAATATGATGAACAACACAGGCCATACAGGAAAATCCCCATAATCAGAAGGTTAAAGAATCTAAAAAGAAGTGGAATACATATTTATAAAACCATAAGCACTAACTATCACCTATCCCTTTTCACTGCTTCCAGTTTGGCTTTTTCCAGAAAGTTGTCACTGACATTATAACTCTAGAGTCCTTGTCAATAAGCAAGTGGAAATGGGGAAGAATTCCATTTTTTTCTTAAAGTAAGGTAGAATTCACTAAAGAGCACAAATGTCCAGTTGGCAGCTCACATGTGAAAAGAAGGCTCACAAAAACACCTTGATGTGTAACATTCTATGATCTGGGTTGCAAAGGCTGATCTCTGCAATTGATGCCTAGTTTTGGGTGACAAAGGTCTTCAACTCCCTTGCAGTTCTAGAATGCAATAACAGCCAGTTTAATCCAGACAGCTGCTCCCCAGTCCACCAAACTGCAAGTCCACTAGCCACAACTGCTAGTTTCTTCCCCTTTTCCTTGGAAACTGGAGACTAAGGGAGAAGTATGCCACCTATTCCTGATCCTCTTGTTCCATACTCATGCTGCTTTAGCAGAGAAGTTCCACATTATGTGCAGGGTTGCATTTAACTGTGACATTGTTTGATGAAGTTTATCTTGACAGATTGATTCAGATAGGGATGGATCTGAGCCACACCTTCCAAACTAGTGTGTAGATCAGAACAGTCGTCCCCCTGCTTTCCTAACAAGTCCTTGGCTTAAAAGCATGCATAAACACATGCTTTAAAATGCTTATTTTTTAAAAAAAATGTTCTAAACTGGAATTTTAAGAGTAATAATGGCAGAGAAATGTATTCCTGTACTAAAGTTACAGTGTATTGTGAAATTACCCCGTTTTAGGGGTGATGAACTCATGTGAAAACAACATGGACAGGAAACAGATCGTTTCAAATCTTACACTGAATCGTCAAGTTAACTCCCTGAACTAACAGAAGGAAATACTTCTTCACAGGGCATAGAATTAATCTATGGAAGTTGCTACCACAAGATATAGTGGTGACTGCATATAAAGAGTAGACTAACCTGGAAGCCAGATTACCTGGGGGGAGCCTTGCTAGCTGTACTGGAACTTGCAGATTGCCATCTGGTGGCAATTAGGAAGCAGGCCTTCTCAATGGTGGCACCAGCCTTGCAGAATGCCTTACATTGGGTATTTGGAAGGTGCCAATTGTGTTGTGTGCACCCACCTCTTTGTTCAACCCTTCCCTGAATAATTGTGCCATCCGGTTAGTTTGCCAGTCTTTGTGCTTTTAGTTTAAACTTTAAGGATGTAAAAGATTTTAACTGAGAAGCATTTGGATTTATTATGATGCATTTTCATTTTTGACCCTTACAGATTTCGTTAGACATGGTAAACAACATATACACTGATTAAATGTTAACATCAAGGCTGTCAAGGGCCACTAGCCATGATGGCCTTATATTAACTCCAGTCTCATTTCAAGCCCAGTTGCTGGACAGTCTGAGTGGGTTGGTGCTCTTGCATTCACGGCCTGCCTGTGGTCTTTCCATAAACATTTGATTGGCAACTGTGCAAACAGTGGGTTCTGATCCAGCAGGGCTCTTTGTAGGTCTTAACAGAGAAGGCTTTGCTGCAGCTTTCAGCTGAACTCCATTCCCCACCTGCAAGACAACTTTTCCTTCTCAGAAGCCGTACTAACTCATCTACCCCCTCACACACCACAATCAAAATTCCTCCCTGTTGATCCAGAATAGCAACATGCTATTTTACCTCAAGTTTTAAAGGTTTAACATTAATAAAAGGGATCAGCATTAATGAAAGGGGATCCATTAAGATGTGGGGCAAGGGAATTCACTCCTGAATCATTAGCTCAGGCGTGCCATCTCCTAGTCCTCTAGAATGCCCAGGCCTAGTTGCAATGTCTTCTTCTCACATGTATGCATAATATCACTTGCTAGTTTGAAATGGGATACCATTAGCCACTGCAAGTGGTGGAGGAAAGGGCAGATGTCTGGGAAAGAGCTTTGGTGGGGTGCCTGTTGAAGGATGCACCAAGGGCTAGGCATTCATTAGGCCTGCTCCTGCAAAGGATCCGCTTGCCTGAAACTGGGAGAGAAAGAAGAAGAGGAGCAGAGGTCGAGTTGTGCAGCAGGTGGCGTGACATTGGGAAATTTGCACTTGAAAAGGTCCCTCCAGCCCTTTGGATCAAAGCGCCCTCTCCCACTACACTATTAGCAACTCTCTGATCATTAACAGGAAGGGTTAAACAGCTCTGCCAGTGGCCCACCCACCCTTTGGAAGACTTTAATACCCTTGCTCGAACATGACTGCTAAAGCCTTCACATGATCATTCCACCTTTCCCACGAGTTGCCCTCCAGCCAGTCTGTCTCAAAGGGCCAGCCAGACAATTCCTTCACAAAGCAGGCTGAGCTTTAGCATTTCCTTCATCTAGCCTCCCCTGAGGGGCTTTGGGAATACAAGGAAGAATGAGAATGAGTAAGTAATTCCTTAAACCAAGAGAGTCTGGGACTAGGCCCATCTGGAAATGAGACATCTCAGCCATCTAGGAACAAGCTGTGGTTATTCAGGGCTTGGAAACACTTTGCTCATGCTCAGAGGCATTCATGTCTATCTTACTACCACATATATTACATGACTGAGCTCCAGGAATGAAAACAGGTGCTGGTAGGCTGAGTCCTAGCATGAAACCAAGCTTTAGATTTAATACTAGGCATCAGAACTTATTATAGAGTAGGAAACCTGATGCCATCCAAATGTTCTGAACTACAACGTGCATCAGTCACAGCTAGCATGGCTAAGGTACAGTGATTGCAGGGGGCCTGATGTCCTGCATTTATAATCCTTCTGTGGATTTCCAACAGCTTTCTTCCTTACTACAGAATGATGTAGATGGAAAGAGGGAAGAATGATACCCACTCTTCTGATCTTCATACACAGGGCTTTCCAACTGGAAATAACCTTTGTTGTTGTTGTGTTGTTAGTAACCTTACTCCATTTTTAATACTTGGATACCAGTATCCAAGTGAAGAATGTGTCTGTCCTGAACGGCATGCGACTTTTCAAATCAATTGCTTTCCTTTGAAAAAATGCATAAGCAGTGGCTGGGAAAGGATTGAGCTCCTGAGAATTTAAACACATTTATGTCATTCTGAACTGGCACAGAACCAATCTTCTTCCTCCTTTTCTTCCCCTTCCTCTTCTTTTCTTCTTCTCCTTCCAAGCTTGTTCAAAGACACACAAATGTGCCTATGTTTTCAGAGCAGTGAAGGCACTTTCAAATTACCTCCAAGACATGTACACCTTGAAAAGAGTTCTGATCCAGGAAAAGTTGCCTTACACTTTGCACCACTCAAAGAAATAGAAAAAGCATCCAGGATGCTAGAAGGATAATCAAATTAAAATAAAAAATAATTGACGGAAACCAAAGAAACGTAGAAGGACAAGAGCCTATAAATGACATAACAAAAAAGAATGGTTGCATACAAAAATGGGGGATGATGTGATAGACTGGAGCATGCAAAATGACAAGTTATAAGAGCATATATCAGATTGCATACAAAGGGTGCATACAGACAGACATGCAAATCAGAGCTCACTTGTTTCCCCCTACCCCTCCCAAAGCTGGCTTTCCCAGCTTTCAGAAATCATTTAACTGATATACTCATACTGAGCAGCAGTTCTACCAAAGTGTTCTTGCCATGCTTCAGGATGCTGTCCTACCTTTTAAAACTATTATTTTAAAGTTATTATTTTAAAAGCACCAGCAAGGAAGAAACATGCTATTTTCTACTTTAGTTCTGCCAGTCACTGGCAGTGCCTCTTCAAGTTGACTCCTCCAGTTTAGCTTCCTCTGAATATGCTGTACTCCCATCATCCCCCCCCCCCTGCAGAATGGTAGTCATCACATCTGGAAGGCACAAGCTTAGTCACAGATGCTCCAGGATTTCAGAGACTCTCCCATCTCTACCAAGATTCAATTAAAATCTCCCTTCCCCATCCTCCGTTCTTCTTGCTCCTTTTCTTTTCTTTAGGATAAAAGCAGAATCTACTTTCAAAATGTTGAAAAGGTGATTTGCAAAGCAGCAGAGAGGTGGATTCTTGACATCATCTGTTTCCAGCCAACCAGCACAGCACACAGCCAGCTTTAGCTGTAAACACACAGAGAACTGATTTTTCCTGACCTCAATCTAAGCCAGAAGATAATGCATCTAAAAAGGGGCATAATGAGTGAGATTCCGCACCATTCACAGTATGTACACATGTATGCACAAGATAGAAAGGGCTCTTAGGGTATGTTTGTTGTTTGCTTCAAGAGAAACACTTTAGAATTTGATAATAAATCAAACAAAGTGCTGGGAAAGCAGGTGGGAACATACAAAGAAGCAATAAACACACATTCAGTGGAATGGAGGCTAGACAAGAATGTCAGAAGAAACTGCCAACCCATCTGCAGTATTTTACACAAATCTATTTCAATCAGATCCACCATATGAGAACACCACTGAAGACTTTCTCCCTGTTGCTCCAAAGTTCTTACTGAACAGAATATAAATGTTTCCTAGCTTTGTTTCCTTTTCACTTAAGGATCAACCTGAAGCAGTTATGGAAAACATTTTCAGCTTGAAAATGTGAAAAATAAAGCTGGGTCAATCCTACGCCCAATCTAGAGCCCTCCAGACGTGTTGGTGTATACCACCCAGCCACTATGGTCAATGAAATCTGACCAAGATTAATGGATTAAGCAAACCAACTTCCACAATTAAAGAAACTGACTCTCAGGTGGGTATTATCTCATTCTTGAACAAGACCTCTTGTTCCTCCCACCCACCCCTTCAAAATAGACATGCTTATCAAAAACTTGATAGGACAACCTCCTTTTTAACTCTTCTTCAGCAAAATCTCCTCAAACAGGCATGGTGGGGTTTTGATCCCATTCTTACATCATGCAACACACCAGGTGGCCCTTATCTTGCCTTCCCAAGGCAGCCTTGGGGCAGTGGGGTGGGCAGGTACATGTCCATGCTAGCCATAAGCAGCTCCACATTGTAAGGCTCATGTGACACATTTCCCCTTCCTGGGAAAGATGGGCCTTTGCCTCATATGCTGCAACTAATCAAACACATTATTTCAGAGCTTGCAAGTCTAAGTGGCAGTAGTGGTCAAATAACAGTGATGGACTAAGACAGAGTCAAACAATGTGTTGCGTTAATTATGTAGAGCTGGTTCACGTGATCATAGGGTAGTTAATAAGCTTGTCATTCATCCTGTGCATGCCAGATGAATTGACATCCTCAGCAGAGCAGCTTCCTGTGTTACGTGAACCAAGCTAGAATAGCTTGCTGCCACGGTTAGCAAGTCACCTATAATCCATGATTTAGTTCCCCAATTGTAATTTGGGCTGTAGTGTCCACCTGAGGCTCATCTTTGTTTTTATTCTGGGGTAAGTGTGTGTGCAGCCCTCATTTGAATGGACTACTATGCAAAAGCAGAGAAAGAATAAACCTTTCTTCCTATACCACAATACCTGCTTCCTTGAATTCCTTAAAGCACTACAAAGGGGCTTTTAGAAAGGGGGGAAAACTTTCCAATGGAAACATTTTTTTCAACCCCAACATGAGATAGGGGAGATTTGGGGAAGCAGATGAGGAGAGCTTAATCTTCCCTTCCCAATGCAGTGGTTGCAATCTGAATTGGGTCCAGCAAAGACAGACAGACAGACAGACATGTCTCAGGTGCACAACACAATTAACGTAATGTTTAGCTTGATCCTCAGTCTCCTTGTTGCACAGAAGACCTCCATAAGTCCTGGGCTATTGATACCTACACTTGTTGTGGCTCTGAGACATCTCTTTTCCACTACCTGTCCTGGCCATGATACTGTATCTTTTGCCGCACACTCCATCTGCTAAATCTTGTCAGTGGCCTGCTGGCTGTAGCCTCTGGGCAATTCTTCCATGCAGCAGAACCCAGCACCATTGGAGCTCATCTTTTCCCCTTCCTAGCCCTTCTCCTCAGGCCCCAAACATTGGCTCCCTTATATCCCAGATACCTTGACTCCATCTACTGCAGCCTTCCTTGACATGGTACCCTCCATCTGCTCTGGATTACACTGCCACCACTCCTGATCATTAGCCATGCTGCCCGGGGAGTGGAAGGCCAAAGCATCCGGGAAACACCTGTCTGAGTAAGATTACTCTAACTTCTTATTGATGCCTTCTGCTACCTGACTCACAGCTCCATGCTACTGGCCCTTCTTTTTCCAGTCCTCTGGAGTACCCTTTAGGATGGCTATGCATCCTACTTTATACAATATAGTCCTTTACTTGAAGCTGTCTGAAGGGCTCTTTAGTCCAGGATGAGAATCATGGGAAGCAGAAACAGAGCCTTAAAGTTGCCCATCAACAGAGAGCTGACTGAACAAGGCATACAGGCCACCTGCTCACGACTACCTCCCATGATGGTGAGCTCTCTTGCCTTTCTCTTTAAATGATAGCACATCTTGCCATTAAAAGCAGCACATGCAAATATAATGCAAGCCTGTGCCGCCTTTTGTCCTCTTTTTTGGGGATGCATCCCCCCCTCCGCTTGTTTTGGTAAAATATAAATGCCCAGCCTAGGTAGAGGTCAGGTGAAAGCAGTGTGTGGCCACTCATTCTGCTCCAAGGGCTTGTCATTTGCCAGGGTGCCAAAACTGGCAGAAGGCCCACTGTCTGAACAGTGCTATCATTTCCAAGCTGTGCAAAGCACCCCAAACAAACAGAAGCCTCCCAAGAGAATGTACCATCTGCATAGCCTGCCTTTTCTAGGTGTATGGGGTTGGCGCCGAAGGTGCCACAGCTGAGCACCCCCACAATCCTGTAGCTGGGCATCATCGCTGTCATTCACAGCATCACGACTTTCTGGCTAGCCCAGACTCCTTATTCTTTTGAGAGGGGGGAGGAGGCACATTGTTTTGCAGCGTGTCTGAGATTATTTCATTTAGATGTTAGGTGGCACTAAACTTAGCTGAGCCTGGGTGGAGTCAGGTGTCTTAATACCCAAGGGACTGGGGATTCCACTTTCAGAGGAAATATACCTCAACATTCAAGATGCTGTGGACAGATGGCAGAGATGAGAAGTTGCTTCCACGTCCAGTTTGTGAGCTTCTGAGAAACATCCAACTAGCCTCTGAGGGGAAGAGTGTGCTGGGATACATGGCACATTGGACTGATCTAACAGGACAACTCTTCGATATACTTACCACCCTGGCGGCTCTTTCTTGGGATTCACATTTTCTGCAGAACCAAGGTCCAGTGGGAACCTGAACAATTCCATAGCATGCTGTGAGAGAACAAGAAAATAGTCAACTTGGAGGTATGTATTTCTGATGGGAAATTAAATCTTATTTCACCTGCCAATCTGAGCTGGGCCACAGAATACAGTTCCCCATTATTCAGGCAGGAGGCCCAAGCCAGACTGGGAGTCCAGCACTGGGGAATATTGGGCACCATCAACCCTTTCCACCATGCTATGGGGCCGACATGGGTTGGGAACCCTGTGCCTTCAATCTACATTGCAAACTGGATGTACATTAAAATAAATGTGGGCAACATGTGACCCCCGTTGCCCCCTCAATCAAAGGAAATACTAAAAATGGGTCTCACAGAAGTTTAGGAGCATCAAAAGGGCCAAATTTGGCTTGTTTCCAAACTGTATTTAGCTCTTTTAGCACTTCATAGATACTGTGGAGCACCAAACAAACTAAATGTAATCCTTGTAGTTCTCTGTAGCATTCTGTAACATTTTACCAACTATCAGATTTTGGTGTCAAACCAGTGACTTAAAAAAAGAGAGCGGAGGACATCTCATAGATTGCACAGCCTCTAGCAGCCTGCACCCTGTGGTGGGGCTCTGGATGCCCCAGAATTGCAAACGCCTGGATCAAAGGGAATAGATTACCCCAAAACCTGATTGGGCCCATGGAAGGAGGATTGACGCTCTCATACCGACAAGCTAAGGTTCTGATCTGGAACAGGGCCCTTGTGATAATGTCTGCTTTCGCTCTTACAGGTGCAGCTGGACTTCCAAAAATCATCATAGCACAGGTCTGTACAACTTGTGATCCATTAAGCCAAGGAAGTCAACCAGCCACATAAGATGGCTCAATAAATCTCTCATTTTTGTGGCCTGGCTGACACCGCAAAACAGGAGGTGGTCAAGCAGTTAGCAGACCACAATCTATGCAGGTGGTTCTATGCAGCTTGGTGGGCTCGTAAATGGTGCAAGCTTGCCATACAGCAAACCTGTCAACTCTGCCTGATTTGATGAGAGTGCTCTGCAGGCCAACCATCCAAGCACTCACTGGTCTTCACAATTAAGGCAATTTAAGAGAGAATCTGAGCTTGCTAGAACAAGACAATAGCTGCGGTCCCACTCTCAAGTGAACCAGGCAAGTTCTGATCTCCGGCAAACTACTGCCCAGTCTGCTGATCATCTGATGGGAGATACTGTTCCCTTGACACCACGGCTCCTACAAGCAAGCTTTGCAAGATCTTAGATTTGAGTTGGGCAGTTATACCCAACACATGACTAGTGCGATACTGTCCCACCTGGAGCACTAATTCACCCTGCCCAAAAACTGATTAAAAGGTCACTTCCCTTTGAAAAACGAAATCTGTTTTTACAATAGAAACATATGCCCAGTTCGGGTGGGGGGGGTTATTGTTTTTGTTTTAGATGAACTTTTGTGTATTGCTGTATCGATCTTTTCTTTGCCTGCATGCTCAGTAACAAAAACCTTTTTTACAGTTCTTACCATGAACAAAATAGCAAAAGACACAATCAAGTAAAGTGACATAAGATGTTACATTCAACTCTGTGCTTATGCTTTAGGTTATATCATTTATAAAATGGTCTAAGATTTCACTTATCAGATATGTTTGCATTTCTATTGTGCTCTAGATTATTATTCTGGCCTACAATTTCTTTATATTGGTAGTTGCCAGAGGATCTCAGGACACAGGGAAATGCTAAAAAGCTGCCTTGATTAGCATTCCTCTAATCATGTGACTATGAGCTGTTCATTGTTCTGCCAACAGGGTTTGCCATAATAAAAAGAAATTACGTGGACCTGGGGGCAAGGGAGGGAAGCAAACACACACACACACACACCCTTTTAGCTTCAATGACTGTGAATGTGGTAGGTTGCTTAGAGGGGATAGGGTGTAACTTACAGAAGTTATATTTATTTAAGGAAGGTTCTAATTATATATGGGTAGAAGCTTCTGAATTTTAAAAATCAGTGTTTTTTCATTAAGCTTAAATGAGCGGACATTAGGCATTCATAAACACTGAAAAACTTATTGATACTTGCATTAGGCAACAGAAAAGAGGTTAATGCAATCCATGATGAACAATCCTCTGTTCACAACCCAACAACAGTTTAGGAGTTCTCTTCTTGAGTTGTTTGTGACTTGTTAGCGCAGCTGGGTTCAGACAATATGATAACCCATGTTTCAATAACAACCTACAACAGCAACGCACCCTCAACCACTGAGTATGGGTTATTGTGTTGTTGAAACACAAAGGAGAAGGAGCCTGTGGACTTTCAAACAGGGTTCTGCAGGTTTCTTTTGGTTACATATAAATCACTCAACTTCAATTAATTTCTTTAAAACCTTGCCTGGAAATGTGTCAATGCCACTTTGTGAAGGAAAGCCAGGTTGAACAGAGATCCTAAAGAAACTCTTCCTTTGCTCTTTTTCCATTTGTGCTAAACAAGAAGAACCAATGTTTGGTTCAGAAGTGTGGAACGTTCTTTTTTCCAGTCCAATAATTAGTTGGAAACTTAAGACCAAGCAAGAGCTGAACTATTGGCTAAGGCATTTGGATGCATGGGCAGGACAGCCCAAACAACCTCCCCATCACCCCCACTACTTAATGGGAGTACAGATAATTCTCCTTTTCAGTTACTGATTAAAACAATTTACTCCTCTTCAGACATGCTTGCATAAGATCCAGCAAAACTGCAAATACAATGCAAAAAATAATAAGCTAAAGAAAAATGTGTGAAATCAAGCAGCAGCTAAAAAGCACTGAATTTAAAGCCTGGAGAAATAAGGAAGAAATCTGGAAGGATAACAGTGTTGGCATGAGACAAGCCTTGGGGAAGAAATTCCACAAACAGGTCACCACTACCAAGAAAACTCTCACTCTCTCCCCCCTCCCCCGTATGTCTCTCTCCAGTTGCTGCCTTCCTTATTTTAGGAAAATAGAAAGCTGCCTTATACTTAGTCAAACCAGGCATCCATCAAGTCCCATAATTTTGGCACTGATTGGCAGGGACTCTCCAGGGTTTTTTCTCACCCTTTCTGGAGATGAGAGAAACTGAGACCTTCTGCATAAAGCTCAAGCAAGTAAGGGAGTGAACAGAAAGTGATAAAAATGAACAGAATGATGCACTGTGTGGATAAATTCAAGCAGCAAACGCCTCTGGGATCATGTCCTGCCTTTGGGATCTTGTAGGCAGCTAGCAGGCCACTGTGTAGGCAGAATGCTGGACCAGAAGGACCTGGTCTCCTCCAGCAGGCCCTTCTTATGCTTTTATGTTCTTATGAGATAAACCTCAGTATTTACATTAAACTATAACCTAAAATCAAACAAATTAAAAACACAACAAGAGAAAACGTAATCAAGAAAAAACATCAACATTATAGTTCTGAAGTGATGGGTGGATGGGACACAAAGGATCTCTCTGCTCCAAAATCTTTATATTACCTTTAAACCTGTTGCTTGTCAAAACGGACACTTTCTGTGGGATTTGAAGCTTTACGCACTTAGCATATATGATGACAGTGTTCATGTTTGCTTGGGAATCTTGCTTTCTAATCGAGGAGCTAATCTTGAGAAGACTAAATAAATACTGACTGGAACTGAGGGTGGTTACACAAGAGGGAGGGGGAAATACTCTGTACATGCTCCATGGAACTTTCTTCTTGCGTGCTATTTCATGTCTTTCTGGGCTTAGCCCTGACATTCAGGAGGACAATTTGATATTTTAGTAGCAGGCAGCATGGTAGGTAAGAGTCAATAGAGGGGTTTGAAGCATGACTCTTGGCTATATTCAAGATTAAACTGACTGAAAAAGAGTATCTTATGTGGTTATTTTTTAAAAACAGCATAATAATTATAGCACTGCTGTCCAAAAGTTACCCCCTTTTTTTTTATGAAGAAGGATGTGTGCCTTTGGTGATTAGCATGTATAACTTGTACACAAGTTCATTTCATTGTTTATAGGAATAGTTTATTGGATTACTGATCCAGGAAACTGGCTAGCGATACTAGTTCTCCTGAGAAATGATCCCATCTGATCTGAGGCATGGGTGTGTATCCTTGATTTTCCTCCCTGAACTGTGGTTTAAAATTAAGCAGCATTGTTGGCAGGTCAAGAAGAAAGCTCACAGTCTTTGCCCCATTCCTACTGAAGCAAAATAAAATGCCCAAATTAAACCAAACTAAGTAAATTTTCTTCAGTGGGATCATTGCTGAATGGAACCAATCCTTGATGTGGCTACAAGAAAGACAAAGGCAGTTTTAAGCTGCATCAATAGAATGTTTGGAACCAGACTCAGCCATGTGTACTGAAATCAATGGGTCATGTAGATCAGGATTAACTTATTATTAATCATAATAAGGCTTATCTCAGTAGGTCTACTCTAAGCAAGACAAAGTTTGGATTAAACCCACAATTTCTAAGGCTGAATTTAAGAGCTCCATGTCTCTAGTTTTGGGTACTCTGATTTGAAAAGTCAGAGGTATGGAAATAAATCATAGAAGAAAAGGTGAAGGAACTTGGTCTGTTAAGTCTGGTGAAAAAGAGACAGACGGGGAGGGGAGGGGGTGGCAATATTAATGCAGCTGAGGACTAGCTCCTTGTTATGACTTTGAAATAGACCCAAGGTTTCTTTTTCTACCAACTGCTTGAGGATATTCCTGGAAAATCCATCTCTTGACTTCGAGGCTTCCATAGTTTAGGGACAGTGCTGTCTGAAAGCATGTTCACAACATTTGACAGGTAAAAAATCCAGACATACAACTCTCCTGTTCTCCTGCCAAGGATCACTGCCCAAGGTCTTCCCACCACCATTCCTACACATGGCGGAAGGCTCTGCTCTCACCATTTATTCTGCCATAGGCCTGCCCTCTTCTAGTGTAAGAGGAGGAAGATTGGTTCTTTTAAGTTATACTAGAAAAATGCAATGATCGTATATTATGTTACCAACAGCTGCAATGTGTGAATTGACGGGCTGTGCACAGTGGTGTAGTTGGGTAATTTTAGACTC